GTTTCCACATACCCATGATATCGGGATAACTAAAGGTATTGGATTTCAGAAAGAAGATGTTTCAAGAAGAGTTATTGGAACCTTGGCAAAAAACCTAGGTTTGAACTGGTGCAGAAATTTGTAAAGGATGTTTCAATTTTTCCTAAAATGTGGGTTCTACAGACAAATCCCAAACCTAAAACTATGGAGATGAAGATCAAATGCACAGATCTGGAAAAGACACAAAAAACAGAAAACAAAGGCGAAGTTTCAGAATCAAGAACAGAGGTGGACTATCAAAAACATGAAGAATACAAAAGGTTGAAGGCCAAGAACAGTGGCAAGACGTGCAAGAAAACTATGAACAGTACATGTATTCAAGGCATAAGCAAAAAGTAAAATCAACGCATTCAGATGTATGATTCGCAAATTAAATGTTTGAGCAAGGCAGTAATAACAAGAAATTCTAGAAAAGATCAAGAACTGGAGTAAGACGAAAACAGTTGCTTACCAGAAAATATGAAGTCGGTGTAAAGATCGCCGAAGTCAGACGACGGTCGTGGAGGCAACGAAATGGTGCAAAACATGCCGGAAGGGGTGAACGAAATAAGTTTCAGAGCAAGGAAGCTTGAACAATGGCGGACTCGAGAAGAAAAAGTTAGATAGAGAAAAAGTTTTCCAAAAACAAGAATAAATTGAAAGGGAAAAATCGAAGAGGTGTTTTGTTAAAAATGAAAACGGCGGCAAAAAGTAATCAATATGCCTGGAAGAACGTATGCGTCAGACGGCGCGCGTGAAAGAGAAACGGCTTACGGGCGCGTCACAGGTACGAACCAATAAGAAGGAAACGCGTGGTTAAAAATGGTTGAATTATGGTGTATGACAGCTCATACGCGTGAAATGGTTCTTGAAGTTCTTGTTTTTCAACAAAGACATGTTGGCCAAAATAATGATCTTGGTTGAGCTATTAAAAACCGACGTACTAAGAAAACGGAGTGATATAGGTTCCATCACCTCAGAATACCGAGGTAATAGAACCTAGGGGGCAGTTGTGGGGATATATTTTTGAGTACCGACACGTGGCAAGATGATGCCGACGTGTTAGCCGAGGTACCACGTGTCAGGGTCATGACGCCGAGGTGATCTCAGGTAAGCCGAGGTTATCTCCGAAGATATCGGAATCCGAGATAAGCGGATAAAAGATAAGGGACAAGAGTCCTAGAATAAAAAGGAGACTTAACCAAGATAAGGATAAAGTTCTTAGGGAGTTTATCTTTATCTCTGAAGGAGTCCAAAGTAAGTACTAAACAGGAATCCATAGAAGTCAGTCTTCTATTGGGATTAAGATTGATACAACTATAAAAGAGAGGCACTCCCGTGGGTCTAAGGTACGCAATTTTATGTTTTGAGCATTGAGTTTAGCATTATTGATTATCTTTGAGAGATATACTGACTTGATCGTCGGAGTGCCCCCGGGTGGTCGAAACCACGGCCGGAATCTTCTCTTTCTGTTACAGGTTAGCCAGGTGTCATCTATTCTGCCAGTGTTCTCCAGCTGAATACTGAGTCGGGCAGTGTGATCAGAAAATCACTCACACATGTAGAGAGTGAGAGCAGATTGAAGTAAGGACAAATAACATGGCAGTGAAGTAAAGAAAAAATAATTACAAAAAATAGTAAATATTATAAATATTAATAATTATAATTATAATTTTTTTTTTTTTTTTTGATGAATTCATAATAATTTTTAAAAGTTATCTCCGAATTGTAATTCTCCCTAAAATAAAGTGATCCATGGTACAAAATTAAATTAGTGAATCCCATAAGATTAAAAAAAATAATAATTTCATAATTTTGTTAACTATGTTACACTTTTTTTTCCAACGTTTTATATTATTTAATTCAAGTATTTGACAATATATTATTAATTGTAATTAATTTCATAATAATAATTCAAGTTTTTGACAACATACCATTTTTATATGGGGAATTTATTAGCAAATCTTTTTTCAAGCGCTTGTATTATAATTAATTCATAAGATATTCTTATATTACAATAAGTCTTATTATTTGAACATTTGATTTACCAAATCATAATTTTCATATTTAAGGTATTTTATGGGCATTTTTGCCCTTACAAATATTTTTTAAACGGTTAACAATTTGGTAATGTGAACATTCATATTTTACGGTATAAATATTCTCATTGACATGTGAATGTTCACATTGATAGTGTGAACATTCACAGTGACAATATGAATATTCACATTGACATGTTAACATTCATATTGATGGTGTGAACATTCACATTGACAGTGTGAATATTCATATTACGGAACATTCGCATTGTAAAGTGAATATTACTAGAGGTATTGTGGTAATTATGTCACTCATAAGACTTATTAAAATATAAGAAAATAATGTGGGCTAAATGGTACATAAGTAGGTGAAAAGGAATTTATGAAAAAGTGTTCCTTTTTATATTTTAGCTAGTGAAGAATGAAGAGTGTGGTTGGAGATACTCTAAGCTAAGCAAAAGTTGCAACAAACATCATACAGACCCACAAATTAAAATAAATTATAATACCATTTTTAAATTGTAACAAACATCCCGTTATAAGGTTAATAAAAAGGAATTTGGTCAAAATCCCATCATAATAAATCTTTCATGCATTAAGAACACACGCACAAACACACACAAATATTTTGAAAAGTCCAGCACGCATCACTATTACTATAATATCCTTAGTGAATAATTTAATATTTTAAACTTTAAAATAACATATTTCATTTTACTCCTTTATAGTCTGAGCCCAAAGCACTTTGCCACCCATGTGGTTCAAATATAGTCAGAAAGGCCCTCAAATCATTAACACCGTTAATTGTAAATATAAAATGATTGTAATACCCTCAAATCATATATTTTTTTTCTTATTTTCTTCATTTCTCCTCACACACACATAATTTACAATTTTTAACAGTAATTCAATTAAATCACAATTAATTATAAAATTTTAATTATTTATCGTAATTTTTATCTTTTTATTCTAATTCTAATTTAATTATATTTTAGATTACAACTAATCCTAAATATTTAATTATTGATTGTAATTCATAACTTTTTAATCTAATTTTAATTTAATTATTTTTAGATCACAATTAATCCTAAATTCTTAATTATTTATTGTAATTCTTAACATGTTAATCTAATTTTAATTTAACTATATTTTAAATCAATTCTTAATTCTTAAGTATTTTATATTTTTATTTAATTATATGCTAGGTCTGGGTCATACAATAAATTTGGAAGACAAGAATCACGACCATGCATATAACACACACACTCTTTTTCTTTTTTTCTTTTGTTACAACACCAAAAAAAAAAAAACAAAACAAAACACTCCAAATCTCCAACTTAGTGTTAATAGAGATGGCAATTTAAACCCGGTCCGACGGGGACCCGACCCCCCGACCCCGATTAACACGGGGATTCCCCGAAAAATACCCCCGACGGGCCGGGGACGGTATTCAAAAAAAAATCCCCGATCATTTTCGGGCCGGGGACGGTGATAAGTTGTTCCGCCCCGGCCCCGGCCCCGGTCCCGATTCTGCTCCGCCTCTCTCTCCTCTCTCACTCACCAACCCACTATATAATATATACTCTTCTCTCTCTCTCTTATCACAGATCAATCTAACAAAACTCCTCTCATCTCTCATTTCGGATCTCTCTCTCTCTCTCATCTCAGACCCCCTCTTCCTCTGCCGCTCTCTGTCTCTCGTCTCTACGCCACCGTGGCCGCACTCCGCAGCTTGATACCAGCGGCGCAACCAGTCTCCATCTTCTCTCCTCTCTCAACCGATCGAGACCTCTCTTCTCTCCCTGTGTCTGTGTGTGTGTGTGTGTGTGTGATGATGATGGCGACTCAGATCTCAATCTCAGATCTGCAGATGTCTGTGTGTGTGTGTGATGATGATGGCGACTCAGATCTCAGTCTCAAATCTGCAGATGTGTGTGTGTGTGAGATGATGACGATGAGGGGTTCTGTAACTCAGTTGGTTGAAGATTGGTTATGAGGATGATGACTGGTAATGAGGATGATGAGGGGTTCTATTATGAAGATGTGTGTGCGTCTGTGTGTGTGTGTGATGATGATGGCGACTCAGATCTCAGTCTCAAATCTGCAGATGTGTGTGTGTGTGAGATGATGACGATGAGGGGTTCTGTAACTCAGTTGGTTGAAGATTGGTTATGAGGATGATGACTGGTAATGAGGATGATGAGGGGTTCTATTATGAAGATGTGTGTGCGTCTGTGTGTGTGTGTGATGATGATGGCGACTCAGATCTCAGTCTCAAATCTGCAGATGTGTGTGTGTGTGAGATGATGACGATGAGGGGTTCTGTAACTCAGTTGGTTGAAGATTGGTTATGAGGATGATGACTGGTAATGAGGATGATGAGGGGTTCTATTATGAAGATGTGTGTGCGTCTGTGTGTGTGTGTGATGATGATGATGAGGGGTTCTCAGTTACCGTCGGGGAACAATACAATTTGTACCCAAAAATAAATAAATAAATAAATAAATAATACTAATTGAAGTTTTTGAATAAAAAAAAAAACTTACCAGAACCCTGACAACGATGCCAAAATTTGATAGGTCATTTGCACACCAAAATAAAATGAATAAAACCGATAGCAGCTACTACTACATAGAATAGCAGTTGAAAACGAGTGTTGAACCACAAAGACTAGGGCAAGTTGGTTTTAATTTTAAAAATTTTGGTTTTGAAAATGGAAGGAGAGAAAAAGGAATCCTTAGGGTTTAGAATTCACTACTAATCGTGCAATTGAGGGTTATTGTATTTAGATTGTAGAAAATTATAGTGATGCATACTACGATGTAACTTGGTCAGGACACATCACTTAAAAAGATTTGTGTTTTAAAATCAGAAAGTCATGAATCATATTTGTTTACTAGATATGACTCGTATAACAATTTTATTACACAAGTATGAAAATCATTTGTATAACATGTATTCACGACTAAATGAACACATAATTTGATAAAACAATATTTGCATAAAAATATGGGTTATACAATAGTACCCTAATCAATTAATAATTTACAAAACTAAATACACACTACCCCAATTACTTGATCAGAATTTCATCCTAACCCTAAGATATAAAAATTAACTACTCATACTACTATAATAACCACTATAAAATAAATACCCTCTAAAATTTCTTCTCTCTCTCTTCTTGGCCCTCTCAGCTCGCCTCCCTTCTGCTCTCGCCCAGCTGCCCTTTTTATAGGCAAAACCTACAAAAACAAACAAAAATTATAGTCGTCATTCATATATATGTTAATGGAGGGGTAGAGGGGATGAAGGCTCTACCGACTTCAATTTGTTTTCTTTTCTTTTTTTTAATTTGTAAATATATATCTAAAATGTATTATTTACACTAATATTTGTACAAACATTCAAAATATATAAAAACACACAAAAATATGTAAAAGTATATAATAGTAAAAATAAATAGACTAATAAAATATATTTTAACGGGCCAAATATGTAACATTTAGGCTTTAATCAATATTATAAGTAGTTTTTATAGTTGTGGGAACACATGCTTTTTCGTAGAAGTTGTGACCATGTTGCTATCAAGTTCATTCCGCTGACAGTTTGATAAATCCCTCCAATGGTCTGCAAATGAAGGAAGCATTCCTAAAATTACGAAGGTAAATTAGTCTAAGTGAAATGTATAAGTGAGGCGTATTTTGACAAATGGTAAATAGCCTCTAGACATTTATATGAAAATATGAAGTTATAGATTCATACGCATTGAAAAATGGTGTGGTTCTGGACAAGCTACAGTGTCATTAGTTAAGCAACTTCCATAGTAGAAGGTTTCATTGGAGCGACAAGAGTTAAGGACACATCTATATAATGTTTGAATTAGATGTTATACATGAAAAGGAACATTTATGGAGTGGAACTACAAATATGTCTAGCTCTTCCTTGGAAAAAGGCACCCAGACAATAGGTGTGTAGGTTTGTCTATCCTATTGCGTCTGACAATATATTCTATACCTTTATCATTGTTTGAGATTGTATTACATAACTGTTGTTCTTTTTCTCTTTGACAATTTTCCCTTTAATTGTTGCTTCGTTCACTTGTTAGTCTTGAATAGTACGCACGCTATTGGCGATTTTGTTCACACTCACGAGCTGGAAAATATCGACAGATTATTTGTGTAGGTATTGGTAACGCAAAGTGATTCGCTCTATTTATGTAGCATACCTTGTTCTTCAGATAGGCATTGTCGAGTTTTGATTGAACAATGATTCATATGTTTGAGCTAAATTCTAGAGTATGCCTACATTTAATAATAAATTTTGCAAGTTAAATCTAGAATAAATCAATAATAAATTAAACAATGACACCGTGGAAGCTAACTTCTTAAAGTTTTCAACATTAATTGTAAAGTAAAGAAACCAGCATATTGAGTTATGGAATAGAACAAGGAAGGTTTTAAGAATCTTCATAAAGTTCAATAAATCTGAATGGTTAGATATTTTTCGCAGTTATGGAATAGAACAAACAAGGTTTTAAGAATTTTCATAAAGTTCAATAAATCTAAATGGTTAGATATTTTTCACATAATAAATTTGCGGCTATGTTTCTTTTTATACGCAAGACATGATCTCTATATTAATAGATTGAATTAAGCTAGTAAACAATCGGAAAGTAAACCAGAAACTACAGTTTCAATTGAAGAAATATACACATGTTTAACAAGAGCAAACCAAGAGACAATAAAAGGAAAACAATGAACGGTTGAAGTAAATGTTTAAGTATTTTTATTTGCTTAGAAAAGGTGGAACCAAATGATTTGGTAATCCAAAACTTAAGGCACATCAGTATTCATCAATCCACAATCCCTCGAAATCAACATTTCTTACATTAAAAGAGACGCTCACATATTTTGTTCTCAGAGCAAGTGAAGATGAGACTAGTGGTATAAGGGAAAGGGAAAGTAGCAAATTTAGTTCAGGAAGATCGCACATCATCTATGAGAATTCTTAATTAACCCTAAAAAATGAAACCTTTTTTGCAATCTTTGTGTGCCTGCCATCTTAAATTTTAGATTATAGGTAGGGCTGTAGAACTTGTTTAAATTTGGTTTATTGATTTCTTTGTAGTGTAGTGTACAAGTTTATTAAACACATTTTAAGATAATAGCCAACAGATTTTAGTTGAGTATTTTTTATTTTTAATAATGCTTACGTTGAGTAATGGATTGAATTTAACTTGTTACCAATTGATATTGAAAGTATTTTTGATGAACACTAATCGAGCTGGAGTAACTTATATTGTACTAGGGGTGAGCATGGTCCGGATTGGACCGGATTGGGATAAAACCAGGACCAATTCGTTATCTACGGTTCCTAAAAAATCGGAACCAATCCGATCCGTTTAAATCTTGGAACCAATCCGAACCAATCCATTTCAACACGGATTAGATCGGTTTAGGACCATGGATTCACATAATTAAATAACAAATATATATATATATAACACTTTAATTTTATAAAAATATAAACATAGCGCTATATTAGTTCTACAATAACAACATATTTTTCTATAATAGCGACATAATGTTCTAGAATTTAAACAATCATAAAAAAATTGGTTTCACCATAAGTATTCAGACCATTACAAATTAAAACTAAAAACTAAAAAACAAAAGTAATAAAAGAATATATTTTACGAGGTTTAGGTTTGAGTTTAGATTTTATATAGAATAAGAGAATATACTATAGGGGAGGATGTATAATAAAAATATAGACTATTTGTATACGGTTCGGATCGGTTCCAATCCGGAACCGTGGGGTTCAATCCGGAACCAATCCGTGAACTACAGATTTTTAATTCTTCAATCCGGAACCGAATCACAGATTCAAAAAACCAATCCAAACCTATCGGATTGGACTGGACTAGATCGGATTACGGATTTTACGGATTTCTTGCTCTGCCCTATATTGTACTGTGTTAATTATACCATGTGAGTTTATTAGATATTTAACTAAAAGGTCTTTTTCGGATTACCCAATTTGTAATATTGGATCTATTAATCCTCGTATTTGGTTTATTTGGATATTCATGTAGTTGTTTCAAATCTGTCAATGTGATGATGCATTATATTGAGGATTTTACTTTGACAAAGACTCACTTTTAAACTATCACTCTACATTCAATATCTAGTATTCTTATAATTAAACAACGTTTCTCTTCAAATCCTTTAATTTCAAGTCCTTGTGTTTGCTTTTGTGTGTGTGTGTGTGTGTGTGTGTGTGTGTGTGAGAGAGAGAGGGAGAGAGAGAGAGAATGAGAAAACCAGTTGTACTTTTTTTTTTTTTTTTTTTTGAAAAAAAAAATGGGCTAAGATTTGATGAAACGAAAATTGAGGGTTAAGGTTTTTATCAATTGGGTTGCTCTGGAAACTTCTCAGAATTATAGTTTGTGCATGTAATATGTGCCTTTCTTGTGTTTCTGTATATATGTTTGGAGTGTTAGAGATAGTGAGAGGTGAGGCAAATAAAAGTTGGTGAGATTTATGAAAATGCTCTAAAAGCAACAACATAAAAGTGTTTGTGGACAAAAGTTGGTGATATTTATTAAAGAAATAGATTGGCATGACTAAAGGCAAGGTTATAGAGAAGCATTTTCATTGAGAAAGGCTGAGAGAATATATTTAACAAGCAATCCCAAAGTGGGTAATAAAAGGGAATTTGAGGGTTAACATTTTCAACAATTTTAGTTTATGTGAAGACTTGATAGTAAATGAGGTAAAATAGTTACAACTAAACAATGTCTAATAACTGTGAGGAAAAAGTTTAGATTAAGAAAGGTCTTTCAAAACCAACAATGACCAAATAAAAAGCATTTTTTAAAACCAGAAAATTGTGAAACCAAACAGGTTTGGAAAAGAAATAAGGAGAAAGGCAAAAAAAAAAATTTAAAAAAAATAAAAAGATTTACTCAAAACTTTAGGAAGCCATGGACGATTACTCTTCCTCTTGTACTTTCATTAAGTTTTCTGTTCATAATTTTAGTATGTTTTTTTTTTTGCAATTTCACTTGAGTTGCATGTTCTCTGATTCTTTTTCATGTGAACTCCGAAATTAACCACATAATTTTATAGTTGTTTTGCATAGTCTATAGCTCTTATTATGTGGTCACCCTTTTGGGTGTCTTTGGATGTCTATTATGAATTCATGATGATATTTCAGTGCTTGGTTTTGATAAACTTCTTCTAGAATTGGTGGTTTGTAAGCTCTTTTTTCATTTTGTGCTTTGTTAAATTTGATCTTTATATTCATGGCATGATGGGTTTTTAGTTTGCTTTTGATGGGTTATGTATATGCACACATGTTGGTTTGCTATAAAATCACAACGTTCTATTTGGATTGTTGTTTTTGAAATTGGTTTGTGATTAAACCTGGTAAACTTAACAAAGACTATCACTTTAAAACTATTACTCTAAATTCAATATCTAGTATTGATATAATTTAACAAAGTTTCTCTTCAAATCTTTCAATTTCAAATTAGCAGATCCAATTACCCAAATCAGGTTGTTAAACTTTTTGTTCATTGAGACATATTGGCAAACACTTGGTGGGCATCTACTAAACATACATGCAGGAATGAAAACATCGTGGGTGAATGTTGTGCAACAGACATAAACATCAAAATAGGGATATAATTACCAGGATTTGCAATGGTGGAACCAGAACTTTGGATTAACAATTTGAACAGCGTTACGGCTGCAACTATGCCAACAGTGATGTAAAGAACAGTGTAATACCAATTCCATCAAGAAGATATATATATATATTGTGAGAAATTCAATGTTTGTTGCAGAAGCACATGACATAAAAGACAAAATCCAGCCATCATCATGAAAATTGCAGTGTTTGAATCTTGCAGCACGTGAAATTGGCTTTGAAAAACAGAACCGATATGACGCACCGATGTTGGAAATTTCAATGAGGATGCAAAGCTTCTTCGGTAAGGAAGGAGTGGAATTCTTCTGGTATACAACCAAGCAGTTCCATTTGTCTCTTGTAGAACGTTAGAAAGCAAGCAAGAAAAACGTTAGGAAAGCAAGCAGGCAAGAGCGTTGTACCAGGGTTATACACTTTTTATATAGGCTATAGATATGTCTATTTCATCTGTAGTTTTTGTTCTTTTAGGTATGTGTATGTATGTAAAGTGAAGTGATAGAGAGAGAGAGGGGTTTTTTTTTTTTATATTTGTTTTGATCTTATTTTGTTTTGTGTTTTTTTTTTTCATATTGTTTTTATGTCCAAAGTGCAATATGATTGGCATCTATCTCTGTGTATATGTGCGAAAAGGTGTGTTTGGTTTGTGTTTGTAGAGTAATTTTTGAGATAAAAAGTACGAAAACTTGTTTAGTTTGCCTTTTTTCAGAAATGATTTTGAAAAATTATTTTGAGGAGAGAGTTTTAAAAAAAAGTCATTGATTTGATGTGTATGAGAGAAAGAGTGATTTTGAAAAGTAGGTAACCAAACAAAATTTTGAGATTTTTTTTGAAAAAATTTGTTTGGTTTGATTACTCTGGAAAATTTGTTTGTAGAAAATTTTTCCCAAAATTTTTTCTGAAAAACAAACCAAACAAGCCCTTAGAGTTCATTCTCTGATCATATCTGATCTGATTTAAAAATAAATAAATAAAATTAACTAGATAGGGAAAAAAAAAGATTGTTCAAAAAAAAAGATTCCAACAGATTAGACCTGATAAACTCTAGTGCTCTAGTATTTTGGTAGATCTGTGGTAGATCTAGATACGTGGAGAAGGCCTTTTTTCTTTTTTCTTTTTTTTTAACAGATCTGTGAGCAAGTATCTATTTTTTTATTTTTATTTTTTAAGTTGTTGTTGATGATGATGATGAAATAGATTGCAATAGATAAAGATAAGAGATAGTAAAACTTGGACAGATCTGTTCAAAATTTGAATAGATAATAAAATTTAGATAGATCTGTTGAATAGAGAGTGGCTTGTTGTTGAATGAATTCTTGTCGAACAGATAATAAAATTCTCGGCTCAGATTCTTTTTTTTCTTGGCTCAAATATGTTGTTGTTGTTGTTGTTGTTGTTCATGTTGTTGATGTTGAAGCACATTGCTATAGATAGGATAGGGTTTGGTTGGATTTGGTATTGCAACAGGTAGGGGTTTGTTTAGCTCAACAGATAGGATTTTGTTTAGCTTCACATTTCAACAAATAGGAAAAAAAATTGAATGGATAGAATTTAGATAGATTGAATTTAAAGGAAAAAATTAAACAGATGATATAACAACCTGCAAGTTTTTCTTCTTCATCACTCGAGCAATGGAATGTTCGCTCTAGCGATCTTGCGGGTCATCCAATATTTTCGCAAGTCTAAACGTTCTGCGCTCAAGCAAAAGTTTCATCGCTCGAGCAATCTTATGCCTCTGACGCTCAAGCGTAAGTTTCATCACTCGAACGGTCTGTTCAGGATCAGCACTTTAAAAAGGTTATTTTTGGGTCAATCTAAGATCATTTTCTCTCCTCTTCTTCCTCTTATCTACCATTTTTTAGGGTTTCAAGCTTTCTAGCTTCGTTTTCATCTATTTCCACTCACTTTTTACTCTTAGTTCCTTATACCAAAACGTAGAGCACAAAAAGAACTTTCTAGCAATCTGAGCGGATCGTGTTTTCATCGAAGTTGGATTTTTGGACTTTCTCCTCTTTTTGTTAGAGGTATGGATTTCTTTACTCCTTCCCAATACTTCCTTATAGATAGACATGCGGTATATTTTTATTGCATAAAAAGTACGATTTGGTTATGTGATTTCAAATTCATGTAAAGGGATTTTGGGTTTGAGTTATAAAAAGTGAAATTATATCTTGTTTATGTTATAATTAAAGGGAAAACCCTAATTTTTATTATTAAAGGTTTGATGAATGAAAAGGAGAAAAGTTGAGTAATAGTTATGTTATGCATTATGTGGATTGTATTAATGTAGTAATTGCTAAAAAGGGAGTTAACTGAGATATTAAGATTGTTTTGAGAAATATGCATTGAGTTGGGTTGTGATTTCGGTTATCTATGGGTTTGGGATTATCAAAGAAAGAAAATGAATTTTTGAAACATGGTTCGAATATTATGAATTGGAAAAATAAGGAATTTGGTTTTTGAAAAGAAGATGAAATTATAACTCTTTTACTAATTGAGAAACGAGGAGTTGGTCATTTGAATATTTGATATATGTTATTGTTGTTGTTAGGCTTATATCCCATGAGTTTTGGACGGTTGTAGTTGTGTGTATCAAATACATGTGCTTAGAGATTTTCTTCTTGACATTGGTGGAGGATGACATTGATGTGTTGAATGGATTATGTGTATGTATTACATTTGTATTATTATGTTTTTAACATGTAGTGATGGTTGGTAACGTATACTCAGCTGAGAATGAGAGATACCATTACCTTTCAACTAGCGCTTGGAGAATTGGCTGCACTTAGAATGATGAGTACCACTACCTTTCAGTTAGCGCTTGGAGAACTTGGCAGAGGTACCATTCCCTTCAAGCTTGTTTCTGGTAAATTGATAGAGGTACTATTCTCTTCCAGCTTGTGTCTAGTAAATTGGCATTTCGTTGTGGAAAAAGGCATATCCTTGGCTTACTGTGCTCAAGACATGTAGAGCATAAATTGGGGTTTCAGTGTTGAACCACTTTTTTGTGTATACTATATGTGGTAGCAATTTGTTTGATAAGGTTGGGTTGTCTCATATGATTGTATAGTAGTCTTGGCATATATGTTATTTTTCTTTTCGTGTTAAAGGTATTGTATATACATTCGTGTATCAAACGAGTTGTAGAAATGTTTCATTACCCTTGGCTTAAGGCTTGGCAAAGTCATTTATGTATTAGAAATGGGTGTATGTGATGGGTTGAGAGTGTAAGCAATGAAAGGTGATTTAGTTTTGTGAATACATTATCGAAAATGCGTTGTTAATACATGTTTATGAAATGGATAATATAAGAAGGAACAGAGAACGTTATGTATTGTTGAGCAAATTGGACGAATTTTTGGAAAAAAGTTTATACATTTAAGTATATTTTTTATTATAAACCCGTCACATAATTTATATTGTATGATAGAAAGCATTCATGATCATAACGATATGTATTTTGTTATTGTTTAGGATCATATTGGGATCCCTATTGGGCTTTATGTTCATCTCATATTGTTAATCCTTTTTGAGATACAAGTTGATAAGTGATACAAGATCGGTAATCTTCTTTACATGTTGGCCACAGCGCCTTTATTTGTTGGCGGAACACCGTTGTTGTAAAGAGGGTTGAACCTTTTCTCTATTATGTAACAATGTAAGCCTACGAGTAATTTATTTAATTGTAATTCATGTTGCATCTCAATTTGTTTATGAGATTGAGGGAATTTTTATGTATTTATGGATGTTAGTGGATTTCATTTACGTATTATATTAATGAAAATGGACCTTAATGGTGGATATAGTAATGTTAACCGAGTAAAGAAAGTGGAGCGTGACAAATAATAAAATTTGAACAAATAAGGGAAAAAATTTGAACAGATAGTTAAAAATTTTGAACAAGTAGATTAAAATTTGAACATATAGTTAAAAAATTTGACTAGATAGACAAAAAAATTTGAACAGATAAAAAATAATTTGAGCAGATAGATATAAATTTGAACAGATAGTCAATAAAAAGTCAATATATAAATTAAGTGGTAAAATTTGAAACACAATGTTCTTTAAAACAAACAAAATGACTTATTACTAGACTATTTCGCAAACCGTGAACCTCTTACCAATAAAAAAATCCACTGGACCTAATGCCTTGTTCCCTCCTTAGATTGGATTTTTCAACAATTTTCTCTATTTTATTCTATTTTCATTTGTAGCAAAGTGTTATTATTTAAATAATCTAATTCTACTTTTTTAGTATATCTAATACTTTAGGAATAAACTATTTTAATAAGTTTTTGACTTTTTACAAAAAGATGTACAAAAAAATAAAAAAGTGATGTGAACAAAAAAAAAAGATAAAAAAAAATTAAATAAAATAAGTATGTACCCAAACAACCCCTTATTAGCAAGATTGAGAAAACAAACTTTAATACTATTTTAAACACAATAAAATAAAATACTTTTTAAAGACAAATTAAAATTTTAAAATTTTTTTGTTAAAAAATTCTTAATTAAGCGTGGTCTTTCACTAATTTGTAAATACTTATGAGCTTATATTTATTTGGATAAATTACACTTTGTTTCCTTAAAATTTCACTCATTTTTCATTTTGGTCCTTTAACTTTGATATTTTCCACTTTGACTCTTCATGTTTGCAATTCTTCCCACTTTACTCCCAGACCAACGTCCATCCAAAAGACAAATGGAATTTCCCATCTCACCAACATGTCGTAAGCTTAGAGAATCTCCTATTGTTTGTCATTGGAACTGCCAAAGCTATAATATAGCAACTTTGGATAAAAAAAGGATTCTCTAATAATTCCATATAGTAGCTGCCAAATTTGGCAAGTGTCAAATCTGCCAGCTCACCCAAAACTAAATGTTTTCCTTCATTCCCTCTCTCTAGGGGTGTACACGATCCGGATTGGATTGGTTCGGTTCTAAGAAAATTCAAGAACCGAACCGATCTTGAGAACCAGACCAGACCGTTACACTTGTAAAACTAGACCAGAACCAAACTGTAGACACCCCATTTTTGACCGACCTTAAGACTCAGACGTCACCGATTGAGCGCTTGGTGATGTTGCATATCGTGCTTGTTCAGAAGTCTCAGAGTCGCGGCCGTGAGCCCTGCCTCCAGACTTCCGAACCCTCTTCTGTGCCTTGTCTCGGTTTGCGAACCAGACTCGGTTTTCTCTGTTTCTTTTCCTGAGGGGAGGGAGAGGTCCCATAGACCATCTCTCAATGTCCGTAGGCTACATTTGGTGGCCGTAGGCCATTTTGCCCATTTCGGAGCCTGATTCCCGGTTTTCGGAGCCGTCAGAACTCATGATAAAAACTAATAATATTAAGTATTACTTAATATTACATATCTATAAAATCCTAATATCATTAAAATTATAAAAAACCAATTAATAAAAATAAAACTTGATATTATATATATATATATATATATCTTTTAAAATTCGGTTCGGTACGGTTCGGTTCAGTTCGAACGGCGGTTTTTTCATAAAATCA